ATGGTTGACTTACATAGGCATTTCCCGTGAGACAAAAGGCGCGTGTTTCTGTGCATAGAATGGAATTAATACAAATGTCGTTCCGTGCATGTTAATCCGTGAAGTGGGCGCAACCGCAGAATAAATCAAGCCGATGACGCAGACAACATCATGCACCCACATATAGTGAATATTTATTGAATTAGTTTTCTGTGGTGACTAATTGTCAATAATTTCATATCTGACGAAATTCTACGAAGTCACCTACCGTCGCGTTTGTCACGCGGATCTTCAATAACATCGTTTTAATTTAACCTTCAACTGGAATCTTTGAATTTGCCTTTGTGTGAGAAAATCATCGGAAGTGTTTGGTCGCGGATAGTTGTTTTTTATAGGCTTAAAAATATTTAATAGAGAGTTTATAGATTCCAGCCTCTGCTGAACTTCAGCTTTTTCAGTCCCATCTTTTTGTCTATTCCTTCTAATTTTTTTTACCAGAATAATGGAGAATTTTGCTTGATTCCCCTCATTTTCATACTATTAAAAATTTTCGTTCGTTAACAGTGAATATGACGGAAGCGGCGACAAACAAATGTAGTTGCGGACAGTCTTTCAAGGAGGCTGCCCCTTGGTCAAACGCAAACTGTTTCGTTGTGGTTACTGGCGCCAGTCGGGGTTTTGGTCGCGCATTCTGTGTTCAGCTTCTCAAAGAACTTGCTGAACCCCGATCTGCACATTGTCCTCCTGCCCTCTCTCTTACTTTCTTTCTTTTTGGACGTGACATGAAGGCCCTCTGTGAGACAGAAAATATGGTAAGTGGTGCCTCCTGCGTTCCTCTGTATAATTTTCAGTCTCCGTTTCCTCTATTGTGTTTTCATTATAATCAAAAGGAACTTCGAAAATTTCCCTCGAGGCAGTCGTTGTTCTGCTTTTTTTTCCAGTCATTCCTTTTCCTTTTATTTTCTTCACATTTACTGATGTCATCGCCAATTTCTACCTGCATTATTCGTACGGTTGGTGAACCCAGGTTAGAAAACTCAACAGTCATCGTTTGGCACTCAGCGTTAGTACGTATTCGCTGCCAGATGCAAACTCTCGGGCAGCTAACAGATCATTCCGGTTCGCCTACCGTTACGGAAACAAACATCCAAAACGATGATTGAAGAATTCATTTTCAAACTTAAGCTCATGTACATCACCCTTCTCTATCACTCGTTATAATGCGCTGCCTATTGCCATCCCACGACCGAACCTCTCTAGCCCATTTTCGCCGCGCGCGCGAGTCTGCACAGAAATAAACTACCATTTTATCGCCGCATTTATGAAAGACAGGTGCTGGATATTCTCTTTACCAGCAGGGCTAATTGTAAACCCCATGATCAATTGCCGCTTGTTCGAACCTCGAGCTAGAGTGTTGCTAATGGATAAAGGCCAATAATGGGTACTCTAATGTTGCTGTCTGTGACACCAAGACTCAAAAAATACTTCAAATGTGGTTTATGCGTCACGAAAGACATCCTTAAATTTTTGTCACACGAAGCTTTCTGTCACTATAGGAGGGATAATTTCTCTGTCACATCGTGTTTTCCTGCAAAATCAATTACATTTCAACGAAGGCTTTGTTGTTGGTACTTGATACTGATCTAATTTGTCGTGTTTTTCAAGGTTGGATTATCTGTATTATCTCCAAACGTGTTGCTGAAACAAGGTAAGACCAACCAAGTACCCGGGCCATTGTACTTTTCCTTTTAACTAGTTGGGTTGTCTTCGTGGCGTTTTCGTAGCCATTGCAGCCTCTTCTTTAAGAGGCGATCACGTGAAGGGCTGTACGCGGACGATTACCGGTTTTCGATCATTTTCATTGCGCTAAAGCTGAAATGACCGGGTGAATATTTGGAACTCAGGGACTTTTGCGAATGTTTTGGTATTGCAACGATTTACAGAAACCCTGCTTGCAGCATCTAATTGGACGCCAAAGTCAACCTTACTCTGACTGTTTGATAGAAGCCTGTCTTCAAGACATCAGGAACTACTTCTACGAGTCGAAATTCATTTATCATAAAAAGATATCTTCCATTGATCAGAGGAACATTTTAAAATACCTCAGTTGTTGAAGCTGCCAACTGATTTGAGGTTCGTTGACTTAGTCGCGGTTGGCCAGCTGACGTCTTGATACAAATTTGGCTCAGCACTCAAATCCGCGGTAGAATTCAGTCAGCGGCGGCTACCTGGGCTGGTCAACAAGATACTGCCAGATTCACTTGTCGTACAGGATGTTTTGCTCATGGTAGCGAGCCCTCATAATAACCGTAGCTTTTCCGGTGCAAAAAAACTAAGTAATGTAGTGAAGTCAACAAAACAGTCGGTCATCGTCCGCAGGTAACCAGGACTAAATTTGTAAATACTTCACAATTTCAATATTTGGCCAGTGCATCCATTTTTGGCTGCAAACCCTGGTTAGCTGGTGTGGCTTCTGCTATCGTAAATCTCAGCCCTCGCGTTGCCGCATTTCATTAAGAAAAACGGAAGAATTATCGATTATC